CCACCTCAGGACCACCCAGGACTTCTAATTATCTCCTCAGGGACTCCTGGGCCTGCAGATCATCTCCTTAGGGAACTCTTGGGATGGTTTATCAATCTCAGGAATGCCCTGAGACAACAGATTGAATGCAGAAGGCTCCTGGGCCAGCCTGCCAACCTCCACAGAGAACTCCGGGTACGGCTGGCTGACCTCCTCAGGGATCTCTTCAGCTGGCCCGCCAATTCTATAAGGGTTTCCTGAACCAAGCCCACAGCACCTACATGGAACCTATGGACCAGCTGTTCAACCTGCATAGAGACCCCCGGCATGACTGGCTGACCTCCTCAGGGTTCCCAGAGACAGCTGGCAAACTTCTCAGAGACTTTCTGGCACAGTTGACTGGCGTCTGGCATGGCTGGCTGATCTGAGGGACCTCCTGGCATGTGTGGTTACCATTGTCATGGTGCTCCTGCATTGCTGGCTGATGTCAGGGACCTCCTGACATGGCTGGCTGAGCTCTCAGAAATGTTCTGGTATGGCTGGCTGATGTCAGGGACCCTCCTGACATGGCTGACTGACCTCAGCCACCTCGTCGTCGTATGGCTGGCTGGTTTCCACAGGTCGTACCTGTGAGGACTGATTTGGTTCAAAAAGCTCTTGTTCCCCTTCTATGGAGAGCTCTTGTGCTCCATTCCAGGGGTCTCTTGGAGCAGCCCAAGGCCTTGACGTTCTTCAGTCACGTGTGAATTTAGGGAGGGTGGATCACTGAAGCCAAATTGGGAGTTACCATCTACTGTAGTAGGGGAAGAAGGACCAGCACTGGACACAGTGCTAGAAGGGCCACTGCTGTCTGTAAAGCAAAGTCGAGAGATCAAGTCAGAGAAGCTGGAAGAGTAGGTTCCACCCTGTGCAGCATAGTTCAAATGCTAGAATGGTTGGCCTATGCTACTCATGTCTCTGAATTCTTCCTAAGTTAAGCAGAGACTACTAAGTTTGCTTCGCTCAGGAACTGTCACCTTGGCCTAATGTATACTCTAAGAGTAACCACAAGGTACATGTAAGACTTTAGGAGAGAGTACTAAGACCAACTTCATCTGGTTCTTTCACAAATGCACTCCCAACCCAATTCTAAGTTTCCATGGCCTGTAATTCCTACTTTGGAAGCATATGAATACTTCAGCCAAGTGGTTCATAATTAAAGTCATAAATTTTTTTTTAATATTAATTTCCAGTTTTCAACTTCAGAGATCCTAATTCTATAGGTTTAGTGTAAAGGTGTAGCTTGCAGGAAGGAGGAGGATGAAGGCAATATAATTTTGTTGGAACACTCTCAATTGAATCTGATGTACACCTTCTGTTAAGAATCATTCTTTAAAGCAATCAATGTATTTCTGGGGCAGAGGTAACCATTATTTATAGCCCAAATGATAAGCTGGCAGGAGAACGTAGAAAGACAATGTAAATCAGAACAATAGGAAAGAAAATGGTTTCCCTGGCCAGGTTCGGTGGCTCATGCCTGTAGTCCCAGCAGTTTGGAAGGCTGAGGCAGGCGGGATCACTTGAGGTCAGGAGTTCAAAACCAGCCTGGCCAACATGGCAAAACCTCGTCTCCACTAAAAATACAAAAATTAGCCAGGCATGGTGGCGGGTGCCTGTAATCCAGATACTCAGGAGGCTGAGGCAAGATAATCACTTGAACCCCAGAAGCAGAGGTTGCAGTGAGCTGAAATTGTGCCACTGTACTCTAGCCTGGGCAACAAAGAAAGACTCCATCTCAGGAAAAAAAAAAAAAAAAAATCGTTCACCCAAAGATGGAAAATGGCCATGGAATCTCTACATGGCAGTTCTTAACCTTTCTAGGGGTCAGTGGCCCCTTTGAGGTACTAATGAAAGTCATAGATTATCTTCCAGGAAAAATGTACATATGAATATTCACACTAATCTTTACATGTGATTCCTGAAGCTCATAGGCTCTACCCTGAAACCACATTCCATGGATCCAGGGTTAAGACCCTTGTAAGTCTTGGGATATACAATGTTACAGGCTTGTCCATAGTATATACACAGGAAACATTAAAAAACAGATTTCCTAGATCCTGAAAGTAATGTAATAAAGACCTCAGAGTCTTCAATTACACTGTGGGATGATTCCTAACCCAACCTCTATTTCTTCACTGACCTCTAGTACAGGACTAACCTACTTTTCCCTTGGTAAATATAATTTTTATTGATAGTATTATAATGATACATTAAAGCACTATGGTATCAATAATGACAGATTCTGGTAAAAGAGGACATCAGAACATATTGCCGTTAAAGAAAACCTCAAAAAGTTGGTAAACCTGAGCCTACAAAGGCTCAACTCATCATTGAGTTTAAGGTATGCTAGTTATCTGTCTTCTATCAAGAATTAAAAGAGGCATGCTTCAAGCTAAAAAAGAGGCCAGGCACAGTGGCTCATGGCTGTAATCCCAACACTTTGGGAGGCTGAGGAAGGTGAATCACTTGAGATCAAGAGTTCGAGACCAGCCTGGCCAACATGGAGAAACCCTGTCTCTACTAAAAATATAAAAATTAGCCAGGTGTGGTGGAGGGTGCCTGTAATCCCAGCTACTTGGGAGGCTGAGATAGGAGAATCACTTGAGCCTGGGATGTGGAGGATGCAGTGAGCCAAAATTGCACCACTGTACTCCAGCCTGGGTGACAAAGCAAGACTCTGTCTCAAAAAAAAAAAAAAAAAAAGACAGAGAGAGAGAAGATATGGTTTTGAGCCAACAAGGCTTTAAGAGATGTGGAGCCTATTTCTGGTACAGACATATAGATCCTAAAGAAGATGTTTACCAGTGAGGCTAAACACCTGATGCTGAGTCAAAAATTATACTAGATGGAAAAAAAGAAAAAGATGTAAGCTGAGCTTTACCCAAGTAAAGAAGTAGCCTTAATATCCAGCTAGTGGTCTGATTCAGGCAAATCAACAAGGTCAACCAGAAACAGAAAAGAGAGAAGGGTAAGATTTCCAGGGGCACAGAACTCATCAACACTCCAGGAAAGTGGTAAAAAGGGCAAAGGCAAGGTGAGTGTAGGATTCTCTGAAATGCAGGGGAGGAATTCTTGGTATCAGGGAAGAAAGTTTTTTCCTCATATAGGGGAAAAAGGGCAAAATTCTACAACTGTTAAGTCCAATGCTGAATGAAGTAAAAATCTTTGCTTGGGTCCTATCCAAGTAAAATAATGAAAGGCATGTTTGATTTCAGTTATTCCCCAGAGGCAGGATAATACTTCACCAGTGCCTGTGGCCCATATCCCCACCTCCAATTACCACCACTAGCTCCTCCTTCCTATAGTCATTCAAGAATTCTGTGTGGCTTCACTGTTCACACTGATGCCAAAAATAACTCGTGATAGATTAGAGATAATAAACAATAGATGGGAAAAAGCAGCACCTCAACTTATACTAAAAACTGAAAACAGACCAACAGGAGAAGGGTCATGGAGAATTAAGTGGCAGATTCTAGTCTCCTGCTCCCAGCTTTTCTAAACGTCTAGGTTGTCTGCTAGTCATCTTTACTGGAGAAAGCTGTTGAGATCAAATAGGGATCAGAGGAGAATGAAGTCTCCATCCTTTCTTCCTCAAAGGCCCCTTTGAGGAAGCACTTCTCTCCAAATTAAAAAGTATTCCTGCCTTTTGGCCAGAACTGCCATCTTCGGATAATTTGCCAAAATGATGAACACAAAGGGAAAGAGGAGAGGTACCAGATATATGTTCTCTAGGCCTTTTAGAAAACATAAAGTTGTTCCTTTGGCCACGTATATGCAAATCTATAAGAAAGGTGATATTGGCTGGGTGCTGTGGCTCACGCCTATAATCTTAGCACTTTGGGAGGCCGAGGTGGGTGGATCACCTGAGGTCAGGAGTTCAAGACCAGCCTGGCCATCAAGGTGAAACCCCATCTTTATAAGTAAAAAAAGGAATGCCCCACAAGTGTTACCATGGCAAAACCGAAGAGTCTACTATGTTACCCAGCATGCTGTTGGCACTGTTGTAAACAAACAAGTTGAGGGCATGATTCTGGCCAAGAGAATTAATGTGCTTATCGAACACGTTAAGCACTATAAGAGCTGAGATAGCTTCCTGAAATGTGTGAAGGAAAATGATCAGAAAAAGAAGCCAACTGAAGCACCAGCCTGCTCCACCCAGAGAAGCACACTTTGAGAGAACCAATTTGAAGGAGCCTCGGCTGCTGGAACCTATTCCCTAAGAATTCGTGGCATAATAGGTGTTAAAAAAAAATAAAAGGCCTCTGGAAGGTAAAAATGTTTCTCTTCATTGAGTGGAAGTGTGGTGTCCTCTCCCCCAAAGAAATATTTAAAACAAATTTTAATTGTGTCCCAATTCATTATGTAATATATTTACTATTCAAATTTAATTTATTTCTTGCTGAAAGATGTGAGGTAACTTATTGCAATAAATTGCTCAATTGGTTAGAAAATGGACAGGTATTACACATGAAATATTTGTACTTGTTTCAAGATAGTCCCCCTAAATCATTAAGGAAGAAATAATTTACGAAAAAAAAATAAAATTAAAAAAAATCATTCCTAATACTGGAGAAAAGCTTCTCTGCAATGAGACAGAAGGAACATGGAGAACAGAGGTAAAGAAAGAGAATAAATAGATTCTCCCTTCATGTTGGAAATGGCAGATGAGACTGCTTCTTTTCCCTCAGGCAACAGGCCCCTCATTCACCAATCACTCTAGTCTTCTTGGCTTTTGTTTAGGCAGTTCCAAAAGGATTACTTACACCAAGGGGGTTTCTCAGAGCGCTGCTGGAGTTGCAGGGGAGGTGAATGAAGAGTACGTGGTGGGGAAAATGGGCTATCTGAGGCCTGGCTGCTGTGCATGGAATCAAAGAGGGCTGGAAAGGAGGTAGGGTGAAGGGAGAGGGAAGAAAAAAAGACAGATGAGGAAGAATCCAGGAGCCACAGGTTATCAACATAAGTCAAAGCCAACTTACCCTTCCTTGTCTGAGAAGTAGCATTTCCTGGGGACCCTTCAACCAAACCATTTTCAATTTTTTATTCTTTTTTTTTTTTTGAGACGGAGTTTCACTCTTGTTACCCAGGCTGGAGTGCAATGGTGCGATTTCGGCTCACTGCAACCTCCGCCTCCTGGGTTCAGGCAATTCTCCTGCCTCAGCCTCCTGAGTAGCTGGGATTACAGGCATGTGCCACCATGTCCAGCTAATTTTTTGTATTATTAGTAGAGACGGGGTTTCACCATGTTGACCAGGATGGTCTCGATCTCTTGACCTCGTGATCCACCCGCCTTGGCCTCCCAAAGTGCTGGGATTACAGGCTTGAGCCACCGCGCCCGGCCCCATTTTCAATTTTTTAAACCTTGTATTATGAACATTTTAAAACATGTTTTTAAAAAAGTTGAAAGACTGGTGTAGTCAATGCCCATATACTCCAGTCTGGGTGACAGAGTGAAACTCTGTCTCAATAATAATTATAATAAAATATAAGAAATTTTTCCAGCTGGGCACAGTGGCTCATTCGGGTAAACAAACACTTTGGGAGGCCAAGATGGTTGGATCACTTGAGGCCAAAAGTTCAAGACCAGCCTGGACAACATGGAGAAACCTTGTCTCTAATAAAAACATAAAAATTAAGGGTGGGTGCAGTGGTTCACACCTGTAATCCTAGCACTTTAGGAGGCTGAGGCGGGTGGATCACAAGGTCAGGAGTTTGAGACCAGCCTGACCAACATGGTGAAACCCTGTCTCTACTAAAAATACAAAAATTAGCTGGGCATGATGGCAAGCACCTGTAATCCTAGCTACTCAGGCGGCTGAGGAGAGAATCGCTTGAACCCGGGAGGCGGGGGTTGCAGTGAGCCAAGATGGCACCACTGCACTTCAGCCTGGGTGACACAGCAAGTCTTTATCTAAAAAAAAAAAAAAAAAAAAAAAATTAGCTGGGCGTGGTGGTGCATGACTGTAATCCCAGCTATTCTGAAGGCTGAGGCATGAGAATCACTTGAACCCAAGAGGCAGAGGTTTCAGTGAGCAGAGATTGTGCCACTGCACTCCAGCATGGGTGACAGAAAGAGACTGTCTCAAAAAGAAAAGAAAAGAAATATATATATATATACATTTTTCTAACATAGCCATACACCATTAACAAGCTAAACACAATTAAAAAGAATTCCCTAATATCATTCAACACCCAATCTGTATTCAAATTTTCCCAATTATTCCCACAAATGTCTTTTATAAAAGCATCCAAACATGAACCATGGACTACATCTTGTTACGTCTCTGAAGCCTCTTTTAATCTAGAATAGTGCAGCCTCTTCTTTTGCATAGTAACTTTTTTGAGACAGGGTCTCACTGTCACCCAGGCTGGAGTGCAATGGTATGATCACTGCTCACTGCAGTCTTGTCCTCCTGGCTCAAGCGATCCTCCCACCTCAGCCCCTTGAGTAGTTGGGACTACAGGCATACACCACCACTCCTGGCTATTTTTTTTGTATTTTAGTAGAGATGGATTTTCACCATGTTGCCTAGGCTGGTCTTGAACTCTTAGGCTCAAGCAATCTGCCCACCTCAGCCTTCCAAAGAGTCAGGGTTTACAGACATGAGCCACCGTGCCCAGCCCATAGCAATGTTTTTAAAAGAAGGCCGTGCATGGTGGTTCACATATGTAATCCCAACACTTTGTGAGGCTGAGGCAGGTGGATCACCTGAGGCCAGAAATTTGAGACCAGCCTGGCCAACATGAAGAAACCCCATTTCTACCAAAAATACAAAAATTAGCCAGGCTTGGTGGTGGCTGCCTATAATCCCAGCTATTTGGGAGGCTGAGGCAGGAGAATCACTTGAACTCAGGAGGTAGAGGTGGCAGTGAGCCGAGACTGCACCACTGCACTCCAGACAGGGCATCAAAGTGAAACTCCATCCTTTTTTTTTTTTGCTTGGAAGTCTCACTCTGCCAGGCTGGTGTGCAGTGGCACGATCCTGGCTCACTGCAACCTCCGCCTCCCAGGATCAAGTGATTCTCCTGCCTCAGCTTCCCAAGTAATTGGGACTACAGGCACCGAACAACCACATCCAGCTAATTTTTGTATTTTTAGTGGAGACAGGGTTTCACCATGCTGTCCAGGATGGTCTCTATCTTGTGATCTGCCCACCTTGGGCTCCCGAAGTGCTGAGATTTCAGGCTTGAACCACTGAGCCACTGCGCCCAGCCAAGACTCCATCTCAAAAAAAAAAAAAAAAAAAAAAAAAAAAAAAAAAATGGAGAGAGAGAGAGAGGAAAGAAAAAAAAACAAGCCACATGTCTTTGCAGAAGGTCATGTCCCACATTCTGGACTTGTCTGATTGTTTCCACATAGAATCATTTAACTTATTTTACTATCCCTTGTATTTCCTATTAACTGGAAATTAGATCTAACTTAGCTAATTTATGTTAAATAAGGTTGTTAAGAATACTTTAAGGTGATCCCATGTACTGTATATTGCATCATACTGGAGTCATATTGTCTCGTCCCATTATAAGTATGGCTAAGTTTACTAAGTTAAGGTGGCACCAACAAGATCTTACTGTCAAGTTTTCCCCTTCTAATTAGGGGTGATCCTTTGAGGAATGTCTACTTCTCCATCAACCGGCGTATTTTCAGTAAAGAGGAGCTTTCCTTCTCCAAATGGGACTATTTAATTAAACTGAACCACAGTTCTCACTGAAAAGACTGTGTTTATTTCCCTTTAATTAGTTTTCAGAGTAAAGAATTAGTGAAAAATATTCTCCAATAGTGGCAGATGAGTATTAATTTGTTTTATCATTTATTTATTTAATTTTTTTTTTGAGACAGAGTCTTGCTCTGTCACCCATGCTGGAGTGCAGTGGTATGATCACAGCTCACTGTAGCCTCAAACTCCCAGGTTCAAGTAATCCTCCAATCTCAGTCTCCTGAGTAGCTGGGGCAACAGACATGTAACACAACGCCTAGCTCATTTTTGTATTTTTGTAGAGATAGGGTTTCACCATGTTGCCCAGGCTGACCTCGAACTCCTGAGCTCAAGTGATTCCCCTGCCTTGGCCTCCCAAAGTGCTGGGATTACAGGTGCATGAGCTACCTCGTCCAGCACCCAGCTCTTGTTTTCATTCATTATGAGCTTGTGGATTTTTATTATATATATTCAGTGTGCTTTCTTTTTTTTTAGAGATAGGGTCTTGCTCTGTCACCCAGGCTGGAATGCAGTAGTGCAAGCATAGCTCACTGCAGCCTCAAACTCCTGGGCTCAAGCAATCCTCCCACATCAACTGAGTAGCTAGGACTACAGGTGTGTGCCACCACACCTGGCTAATTTTTTTTTTTCTATATATATATATATATATATATATATATATATATATTTTTTTTTTTTTGAGATGGAGTCTTGCTCTGTCGCCCAGGCTGGAATGCAGGGGCACCATGTCGGCTCACTGCAAACTCTGCCTCCTGGGTTGAAGAGAGTCTTCTCCCTCAGCCTCCCATAGCTGGGACTACAGGCATGTGCTGCCACACCCAGCTAATTTTATTTTTAGTAGAGACTGGGTTTCACTGTTTTAGATAGGATGGTCTCAACCTCCTGATCTCATGATCCACCCACCTAGGCCTCCCAAAGTGTGGGATTACAGGCATGAGCCACTGCACCTGGCCCTAATTTTTTTTTTATCTTCTTAGAAATAAGATCTAGCTGCCGGGCGCGGTGGCTCAAGCCTGTAATCCTAGCACTTTGGGAGGCCAAGGCGGGTGGATCACGAGATCGAGCCCATCCTGGTCAACATAGTGAAACCCCGTCTCTACTAATAAAGTGCAAAAAATTAGCTGGGCATGGTGGCACGTGCCTGTAATCCCAGTTACTCAGGAGGCTGAGGCAGGAGAATTGCCTGAGCCCAGGAGGCGGAGGTTGCGGTGAGCCGAGATCGCGCCATTGCACTCCAGCCTGGGTAACAAGGGCGAAACTCCGTCTCAAAAAAAAAAAAAAAAGAAAAAAGAAATAAGATCTAGCTATGTTGCTCAGGCTGGTTTCAAACTCTTAGGCTCAAGCAATAGTCTCACTTCAGCCTCCTGAGTAGCTACATCCAGCGTACTTTAATCAACTACAGTAATTATTCTTTTTAATGCCCAAACTGTCCCAATTTTGGTCACTGGGAGCCTCTTTGGGCTTGACCGCTTCCTTGCTTCTTTTATCCAACATGCTGCGAGATTATCCTGGGTTTTCTTTGCCCTCGACCATGCATTCTAAACAAAATTGGTTCTTGTGGGGATAAAAAAAATCTTAGCTATTCCAATGGTTTATGGTCCACCAAATGGTCACAATACATAAACATGATATATCTGTGGTATTAAAATTGCATGTGGTAGGAGGTAATTAGGGAAAAAAAGATTCTAAAAAAACTCCTGGGATGGAGAGTAATTTTCAGAAAGGTTAAAAAACCCTGCTCTAAACCAAAAATCAAGTTACTTTCCCATGGAATCCTAGTTACTTTTAGTGGAGAATGCTACATTCTCCACTAAAGAGACCAAAAATCTAGTTATTAAAGGAGCTCATTGCTACATTTGCCAATGCATACCAGAATTCATATTGATATTTTCTTTTTTTTTTTTTTTTTGAGACAGAGTTTCGCTCTTGTTACCCAGGCTGGAGTGCAATGGTGCGATCTCGGCTCACCGCAACCTCCGCCTCCTGGGTTCAAGCAACTCTCCTGCCTCAGCCTCCTGAGAAGCTGGGATTACAGGCATGCGCCACCATGCCCAGCTAATGTTTTGTATTTTTAGTAGAGACGGGGTTTCACCATGTTGACCAGGATGGTCTCGATCTCTTGACCTCGTGATCCACCCGCCTCGGCCTCCCAAAGTGCTGGGATT